AACAAGAATCACATAGTGCAGTTAAGATATCTTTTAAAAGGTAATAAATGTAAATAATAAACAGTTTCTTGATAATCCTCTCTCCTAAAAACCTGCATGTATATGTATGGGTTTTTTTCACTTTTGAAGTGCTAATAGCTCTTGACTTGCATTTTCTAAAATCACTAAAGGACAACAGTTTCAGTCTAGTGAAGAAAAACCTTGTCATCTGCTTGTTGGATGGCCTGAGGGTGAGTAAATTAACAGCAGATTTTATTTTTGGCTGAGCCAACTCTTTAAAAGCATAAAATTAACTTTTATTTCCTCCCCATCTGCTGCCTTTCATGTCTTAGGAGATACGCTGTTTTTATTATTGTTTTGGTTCTCCACAATCTTTCACTCTTATACTAACTTTTATCCTACACTTTAGTATTGACCTTATCTTTCATTGTAGTGTTTTTGGCTCGAGATTTCCAGTCTCATTAACTTCCACTGATTTTTAGATTGTTAGATGTTTGTTATGCTGCTTGAGGTTGAAAACTGACTTTTTTATTATATAATTCTACTTTTTTATGTATAGTCATGAACACACTTATAGAGCAAGTCGTTTGACTGTTTTCTGCCATTTATCATTCCTAGTTCTCTCGTAGGCAACTGAATCCAGGGTTTCTGCAGGTTTCACAAGGTTAAATTTAGGACTTTTTAAAACATTTTTAAGATCATTATAAATGAAATTGCAGAGTTATACCGGACTAAGTGCTAAGTTTTTTTTTTTTTTAAATATCCCAACTAGAAAAAGAGTTTCACTATCCTTTCACTTGCCCTATCTTTGCTGTGACACTAAGCATGGGAAGAAAGCCTTGTTCAAGATATACCGCGGTTTAAAAAAGTAAATGCTTTAAAACCGTCAAAATTCGTCAAAATACCGCTCCTAAGGTATTAGTAAGATTTTTTGTTTACATTTTTTTTAGGACACCAATATCTGCAGCAGAAAAGATCTCCAAAGATGCTGTTTTAAATTGTAAAGAAATCAATGCTTTTAAAACAAATGAGACAGCAGAAGACAAAAATTTATTTGAATTATTTAGCCTGACATGTTTATTGCTCTAAAATATTTTATATGTTTACCAAATAAAATATATTGTGTACAAAAGGGGAAAAAAGGTTTTGTTTTTTACCAAGACATTTAAAAATAATATACTTTAAAGCAGTAATCACAATACTGTGATACTGTGAAACTGTGGTATTTATATCCAAGGTTATCATACCTTCAAAATCTTAAACCAGCCCATGCCTACTTGACACTGTCAACTACTGTAAAGGCTGGAAAACTGGGTTGGGTTGTCTAAGACGGTCCTCAAATGGTTTAGATCTTACCTCGAAGGTAGGTTACTATGTCGGTATATGTGACCATAGGTTGTGGTGGACAACCATGACGTGGAGTCCCAAAAGGCTCATTTCTGGCACCTCTCCTGTTCAACCTTTATATGCTCCCACTGAGCCGAATAATGAGAAAGAACCAAATCTCCTACCACAGCTATGCTGATGACACTTAGATCTACATAGCCTTACTGCCTAATGACTTTACCTCCAGTGACACCCTCTGCCAATGCATTGATGAAATGAACAGTTGGATGTGCCAAAACTTTCTTCAGTTTAACAAAGAGAAAACTGAAGACACTGCATTTGGGAACAGAGATGATGTTCTCAAGGTGAAAGCGTACCTTGCCTCTAAGGATCAAACAACAAAAAATAAGGTCAAGAATCTTGGTGTGATTCTGGAGTCAGATCTGAGTTTTATTAGTCATGTCAAAGCAGTAACTAATCCACATACTATCATGCCAAAAACATTGCAAGAATTAGATGCTTTGTTTCCAGTGAGAAACTCACTCATACTTTTATTAGCAGCAGAGTAGATAACTTTAACAGCCTCCTCACTGGCCTTCCCAAAAAGACAGGCAGACAGTTGCAGCTCATCCAGAACGCTGCTGCCAGGATTCTGACCTGAACCAGGAAATCAGAGCACATCACACCTGTCCTCAGGACTTTACACTGACTCCCAGTTACATTTAGAATAGATTTTAAAATATTACTACTTGTCTATAAATCACTAAATGGCCTAGAACCTCAATACATTACAGAAATGCTCACTGAATACAAACCTAATAGATCACTCAGATCTTTAGGAGTTCAGTCAAAGCAGGGTGAATCCGCCCACAGCTACTGCACCTCATGCTGCTGGAATCAGCTTCCAAAAAAAAAAGATGTGCTCCAACATTAGGTACATTCAAATTCAGACTTAAAACACATCTGTTTAGCTGTGCCTTTACTGAATAAGCGCTGTGCTACATCTGACAGATCGGACTATTGTCTTTTTTTTCTTTTTCAATCTTTTATAACCTGTTTTGACACATTTTAATCAGTTTTTATCTGTTTTAATTTTTTTTATACTTGTCGCTTTTATTCCTGTTTATGTAAAGCACTTTGTATTGCCACTTTGTATGAAATGTGCTGTATAAATAAACTTGCATTAAACTTGCCTATCAAAAATGATTCTAATTAAATACATTTAATAATGCAATAATAATAATTTAATAATGAAAAATATAGGTCAGGTCAGTATCCTGAGCACAAAATAAATAGAGAACTTTCCTAACAGTAACATTTATTTAAAAGTATAATAAACAGAGTTAAAAATTGCCATTTTTAAATAAAAAGTTTTATTGAGATTGGGATTGTTGGTGATTGTATGCGTGTTAATGGCCAGATTGGGTAGTTATGCATGAACAAAGTAAAAATAAGATCAGTTAAAAAGGATTTAGGACCTACAACACAATATCTCAGGAAATTAAAGACTTTTTAATACTCTGTGAATCGGAAGTTGTGAAACAATCGCAAAAACAAGTGCTTTTCTGCATTGCAAAATAAGGTCAATAGTGTTATTTATAAACATCATGCGTATGGAAGTATTACTGTTTACCATGACTGGATCTGTTCAGAAGATTATTCACTCAAAGGCCACATTCGCACCAAGAAATGTCAATAGACGGCTACAGAAACTTGGATTTGTCGGATCAGTGTGTGACCCCGGTTGGTCTCTGTTGCTGTCTGTTGGAGCTTGTTTGAACATGTCGAATGTGAGCTCATCTAGTCTTCATATGTCTGAGAAGTGATGTGCTGTAATCTGGTGATTGTCCCTGGTTGGTGGTCTGTGTCAGTGCAGTGTCAATTGGGCTTGAGTTTATCCAAGAAGTTTGAACACTTTTGTCAGGGGACTGAGTGATTGAATTGACCAAAGAAATTGGCTTGGTGCAAAGTTTGTGATTCACTTGTATCAGGAAATAAATAATGCATACTAGGGATGCCACAATATTCATTATAATATTGAACTGTTTGCTGCTAGCTCAACAGTTCAATTTGTGATTTCCCAGTTTTGTGCTTAATTTTTAATTTTTCCCCAAGTCTTTTAGCACTCTCTGAACTGGTGATATGTCCAATGAGTGAGTGTCCAATCAGTGAGTGCTGAAGTTAAGGAAGTGTAAAGTGAAAGTGACGTGTAACCAAGCGGAATATGTGCTCTGCATTTTACAACCCCAATTGCACAAACACAGCAGTGAGAGCTGCAAACGCACATGAAAAAAGAAGCACACTCTGTACATCACCATCCACGTTTAAACTTCATTAATGCTTTTGTTTTTTTCATCATTTAACCTAAAAGCACAAAGAGAACTCATGCGCGAGATTTAAGAAGTGCCCTCATCTTAACGTGTGACTGAATGTTATGATGCATATATTAAGCCTTGCTTCTGAATGGTCAAACTCAATTATGTTCAATAAGGATGTCGGTGTGCTCGACGAATATTAAATCAGTTACTGTATGCCTTAGAATGTAAACATTCGAGAAATGATGTGTTGTCTGTAACTTTCTCAGTGTGCTGCATCTGTTGATTCTATTAAAAAATAAAGCATTCTTTGTTTAATCTTTACATCTTTAATTTAATCAAACAAAAGCGCATTTTGGAATATCACATAAAAAAAACCCCGGAAGGAAACAGCAAGATGTGCATAAATTTAATAAAAGTATGCGCACAACTGAGTAGGATAAACTTTTTATCCGAAAAGAAAAAATCCGCATAAACTCTTATGGAAACACATTTATCGTAAAAAATTCCAACTTGCACATCAAAAAAGTCATTTTGCTTCAACAGATCATGTGATAACAAAAATTGTAGACAGTGACAGGTATGTTTGGGTGGATAATGAGGTCTAAATATTTTTAAATGGTGTAAACGAGAACGAGTGACAACCATCCTGGATGGAAAACATCAGCGTAAGGTGCAAATCTTCCAAGAAGTGCGAGCTGAAATAATTCTAAAAGGATAGAACAAACTGTGGACTATTTTGCTTAATAAATGGAAGAGCCTTAAGCAAAAATACATAGCTGAAAAAAGAAAACTCGAATGTAGTGGAGCAGGTGACAACCCAGCAGGCACACAACATCATAAGACGTTAATATTATGTTACATTTAGGTCATGACGTCAGGTGACCAAAATTCAACGTCTAGTCAGTGTCTAAAGACAATGTTATTTTAACGTCCAATAATGACGCCAAATTACGTTGATTATTTGGTTGATTTTAGGTTGTGTTAGAAAGTGACCAAAATCCATTGTCTGATAGATGTTATAGTGGTAACGTCCACACATTGTAAAGGTGTAACATGCTTAGGCGTTGATATTTGCTTAATTTTAGGTGTCTTTAGGTTGGACGTTGGATCAAGTTTCGGTAGATACTCAAAAGCAATTGACTCGGACTCAAGGGTGAGAAAACCTGATGGGGACATCCTAGTATGCAATCTCATACTTGATTATATTATTCAGATTCTGTGCATGAAAGTAGATGTATCTTTGCTTTGTTGTATTCATTTATGACTTTAATGGAATAATTTTTTATGTGACTGTCCTTTTTTACCAAACATACCATATACCTAAGGCATTTAACACACAATAATGTCAACACTTACCTGCGGCTCCCTTCCCAGGCCAGCCCCTCCTCCCACAGCAATCACAGGCACTCCTGTCTGGGCAGAGACAAATTCCAGCATAGGTGCTAACGGTGCCCGGTTAGGCGGTGGTGGCTTTTCTTCCTCAAACACAAGGCCTTGTAGTGGAGTGGTAGCTAGCAACTCGCACAATTGTAGCAAGAGGCTCCCAGGACTGCTCTCATTGACAGCCAGCCAGATCACATTGGCGGGGCCCCACGGTGTCATCACACTCTCGCCTACCTGCCCTGACCAGGCCCGACTCAGAAAGGCCGTCCCCGAGCTGCCGCTGCTGCTGCTTGGCCCGGCACCGGAACCGGAGCCCGCCGAAGAGGCGCCGCCCACGCCCCCCACCCCGGCGCTCGTTTCCGGGAGGTGGGAGGAGCCGGAGTGAACCACAGCGATGTTGACTCCGCCCGAAGCCCCTCCCGAGTCCCTCTCTCTCTCCCGGGGGCGGAGCAGCAGTGGGGGGGAGGGCTGGGCCGGCCCAGTGCATGCCAGCACAGCCAATAGGAACGAAAGGGCAGGCCTCGCCGCCATGACACAGGCAAAGAGTCACTTGGGTGGGTAGTGCTTTATGCAGGAACCAGACCTTAAGGGAAAGAAAAAAAACAGAGACAACATAACTGAACTGAGCTGAGGGAAAACATGAAAGGCATGCCATCAACGCACAGTCCATCAACATCAATTACGATGCCGCCAGACATCAAGATACATTAACCTAGCAGAGGTAGTTAAGTCTCAGCGTGGGGACTGGAGAAGAAAGCTAACACATCTCACCTCCCTGAACCCAACCATTCCCCAGGGAACATGGGAAATCATTACTCCCTCTGCACTGATTCACGCATTAGGCCCTTCAACGCACGAGAGAGTGTCGAATCTCTGCCGTGAATTTGCTCCAGTCCATCTCTGCTCGGGTGGATCCAGAGCAGACGGAGTAAATAAAAGTGAAAATAAAGAAGAACAGAGGGGACGAGGCCGCCCTCTGCGCCTTTTGTTTGTGTGCCTCTCGTACAATGAGGCAAAAAAGCGAGAGTGCACAAGAACGAAGAAGGGAGGGAGAGACGGCGCGCTTGTGCTGATATAAATGGCAGGCCATGTAAGCGCCAGCAACACCATGAATCATTTTCAAGTCACTTTGTACACCAGCCATCAAAACCTACCCACCCATCCCTCCGCCTTCGCCGTAGACGTGCACATACGCACTCTCTTTAATTAACCTCCAACTAAACACACTTATTTAGACACAAACAATGCGAGTGCGCAGACAGGCAGTAGGGGTGTGTGATATACGGGGTGATGTATAGCACAAATGCACCTATACTTGTGCTAATGTGCATATTAAGTAAAGCACTGACTCAGGGGCTTGGCAGCACATTCACACACCCACATGCACACAACACAACGCACATCTTTCTCTCCGTCATGCTGGCTACGTTTCAGAGCTGGAGCCGTTAATGTCATAGCTTTGAACCAGAAGGCACGCTGACGTCATAATTTCTTCTCTCATTTTCTCTTCCCCATTAATTCTCCTTGCGGTTCTTTTGATACTGGGAAAAAGACACACAGAATGGGGGATTAAGCTACATCCGTTTGGAAAAGACCAAAAGGCGGAGGAGAGGGGCTGAAAAATAAAACGAAACAGAAGTGGACGTTTGGATTGGAGCAAAGGGTGAAAAGAGCAAAGGAATGGGCGGGAATGATGGGAGCAAAGGAGCTAAGCGTGAGTTCAAGAACGTAGACGGCTGATGCCTATAAGGGAGTCTCGAGTAAAGGCGAAAGGGTCTATCAGAGGATCTGCTGCATAATTCAACACATCATTACTGCATTCACACCGACCTATGGGCAAAGACTGCAGTGGCGAGTAGAGGGAAATACTGCGGACTAAATGGAAGAACACAAACAAAATTGATTTGACTTACTATAAAGTCTATCGCACAGAACTTCAACTGGACGGCAGGCTTTTGAAAAGGACTATACATTTCAGCTTTCATTCGGAATGTTGAAATCCAAAGGGATTGAGGACCAGAGAAGGTGACTTTGTGCAGAGAGCATAAAAATCCATTAAAATTATAATTCCTCTTCAAAGAAATACAAAGTAATGGATGGATAAGAAAACAATAACTTGTACAGTAGACCGAGTCTAGATAGGAACATCTGTTCTGGATAGTTAACTATGATAATAAATGAAGCTGTGGAGGAATAAAGCTCCTTATGTTTGATTCAAATGGGGTATTAGTAAGTGAGCACAAAAAATAGTTCTCTAAAATCTAGCAGGTTAGGAAGTTCAAAACCTCAACCTATGTCATCAGACAAATTGTAAATGAAAAATATCTTTGAGATATCTATGAGCAATTCCATGCAAATGTCAACCTTGCCATGAAAAAAAAAAATCCTGTATATTTTAGGACATTTAAAAAAACCCAGCCAGTTGCATTGTTAAGTGCCAAAAAGTGTCTCTTTAGAGAGCACGTGAGACTCTGTGGGAGTGTTGACAGGTCTGGAGCACACAGTAGCTACAAAACGGGTAAACGAGAGAAGATTTTCCACTTCTTAATCAATCGCGGATGTTTGGTTATATTTGGCGGATACAAAAAAAAAAAAGTGTAAAAGGATTTTCTTTTCGGCTTAGTCCCTTTATTAATCAAAGGTTGTCACAGTGCAATAACCCAGCAACTTATCCAGCATACGTTTTAAGCAACAGATGTCCTTCCAGCTGCAACCCAACACTGGGAAACACCCATACACACTGGGAAACACCCATACAGACTCTTTCTTGGCTCGAACCAGCGACCTTCTTGCTGTGAGGTGACTTCGCCACCATGACACTGTAAAAGGATGATAAAAATATTATAAAAATGTGTCACTAAATATACTTGGGTGGTCGTTAATATTCCTGGGCGGCCAGCCTAAGTAAAGTCTACAGTTGAAGTCAGAATTATTAAAAACCCTGAATTATTCGCCCCTCTGATTATTTTTTCCCCAATTTCTGTTTAACGAAGATATTTTTTCAACACATTTTTAAACATAATAGTTTTAATAACTAATTTCTAATAATATTTTTCAAGACACTTCTATACAGCATATAGTGACATTCAAAGGCTTACCTAGGTTATTTAGATTTACTAGACAGGTTCGGGTTATTAGGCAAGTTATTGTGTAATGATGGTTTGTTCTGTAGACTATTGGAAAAAAATTTAGCTTTGAGGAGCTAATAATTTTGACCTTAAAATGTTTTTGAAAAAATTAAAAACAGCTTTTATTCTAGATGAAATAAAACAAATAAGACTTTCTCCAGAAAAAAAATATATTATCGGACATACTGTGAAAAGTTCCATACTCTTTTAAACATAATTCGGGAAACAATTTTAAAATAAAAAAAATTCAAATGGGGGTTTAATAATTCTGATTTCAACTGTGTTGGAAGCACTGAAGTGTTTACCAAAATAGCGAAACCCTTTTTACATTTTTCTGTGTAGGCTTGTATCAAAAATCTCAACAAAAAAAAAAGAATTATATTTGATATACTAAAGTCACACAAGTGAAAATTTTACAAATGTCACATTTGTGAGTTTTTTCCTCATAAATGCAAAAATGTCAAATAAAATAAAATCAATCATTTTTGTTCTATGGTGAGCCAACTTGTATTCTTTTGGTTAGCATTGTTTTTTTTGTTTTTTTTTTTTAAGGGGGGGGGGGGGGGGGGGGGTTGTGTCGTTTAATTCACAGAATTTCAACAAAGTATGTTGTATACAACAAACTTGAGACTTTTTTGGTCACATTTATAACTCGTTATTTTTTTCTTCGTTTAAAATATAAAAAATGTTTACAGATTGATTTTTTTTTTTTTACTAAAACCATAACTCTGTGTTTAGTTGTTTTGGAAAATAATAAATAATTTGTCTCAATATACTATAATGTTAAAATTCTTTTTTACTGCAAATGTCACATCCACAATGCTGGAATTGCTCCTATATATAATCTGTAAGTGTGGTTTTGTTATCGCACTATAATAACGGCCAATTGTGGACCCTGCTAAAGCAGAAATGTGCAATTTTTCACACTTTCGCTTGGTTTGATCGGAATGCAGGAAGTTCATGATGTCTTGTGAAAATGAGGTTGAGGGTTCTTGTCATCAAGGCAAGTGATTGTACCCCTGGGGCAGATGGCACGCAGCATGACTCTGGAAAACATTGTTATATTAAAAATATTCTAAATTATCAAAATAAGATTTTTTGAACATGTTTTAATATTATTTTAAATATCCCTTTACAGTTTTTTCAAGTGTTTTGCCACAAATTTCAGAACCCTGATTTCAATTTTCAAAATTCTAGACACAAAACTCTAAACAGTCACTACTTTTAACGCAGGCTCTCCAGTGTTCAAAACTTTGCATGTTGTGTTCATTTCTTTAAAGAAGGCTTGCATTTGTAGGATCATTGGTTCACATAATCCTTTTATCAAACAGACACTACAGAAACATAACTTTAAATAAACAATTGAAACATCATTTCAATAAAAAATCTTTAACTTTTGTTGTTTTAAATATATGATACAGGTTTCATTATGGTTTACAAATAAGTGTGGTGGGAACAGAACAGACAGTGGAAACACTGAACTAAAGTTTATTCATTCAATAATAACATAGGTTAACTGTAAAAAGAAAAAGAAAAACAGAATAGAAAGGGTTTTTTTTCTCTATTTCCGTCAGTGTGCAGACTTGGCCACAGGTTTGTTTCACATCAGTCATGTTTTTATTAGTCTAAAATCTTAGAAGGAACTTCTGTCAATGCGAATCCAGACCTGATATTGGTCTGCTGTGATTGGGCTTTCTTGCATACAATAATATAAAATATGAATATGCTATCTGTAAAAGTGGTACATGGAACATATACAGTTGAAATCAGAATTATTAGATTTTAATTATTATTAAAATCGAAATCGCAATATTGTTCAGGAAAATTGTGATAGGTTTCTTTTGCCCATATTGCACAGCCCGAACGAGTGCCAATTTCATATATGCCACATCCATAATGAAGAGCCTCATACCCATAACAAAGCTTTTTCCTCATAAATGCAAAAATGTCAAATAAAATAAAATCACTACATTTTGTTCTATGGTGAGCCAACTTGTATGCTTTTGATCAGCATTGTTTCTTTTGGGTCGTGTCGTTTAATTCACAGAATTTCTACAAAGTATGTTGTAGAATGCAGACTCGAAGGCGTTTGAGATCAAATCTACAACGTATGTTTATTTCTTCATCTAAAATATCAAAAATGTTTCCAGATTGATCTTTTTTTCTGATCTCGTAACTCTGTGGTTAGTTGTTGGAAAATGTACGTAAATGTTTGTTTCAATATGTTTCAAAATGTTCTAAAATCAGTTGATATGTCGATTTATGGCAAAAGTGCTGGAATTAATACATATATGAAAAAATCTGAAAATATTAAATGTAATTACAAGCCCAAAGACATGCAGTACAGGTGATATGATTAAGTTAATCGGCTGTCAGTGTGTCAATGCCAGAGTGTATGGGTGTTTCTCAGTGTTGGGTTGTGGCTGGAAGGACCTCCGGTGCGTAAAACATATGC